TAGTTCTACCTTTACGATTTACTAGAATTTATCAACCACTAGTGACGTCATCCTATTGTACTGGTAGAATTATATCTCTCCTATTATATATTTTATAGAAAACCTAGGATGTTATTTATAATGCTTAACGATGCATGTTATATCACCTTGTATATTGTGAATAAGGTTGTAGAGATTTCTATATTTGTCTATAGGATCTTAACAATGTCAGTCCCCATGTTATTTCCTAGAATTATGAGAGACTCGAAGATAGACAACTAAAGGGGTGGGCAAACTAGTGGTCTTGGTCGGAGACTTTTGTCGCCGATGAGAATCTTGAGTTTCAACGACTGGCACTGGCACAGGCTGTTTTCCACTTTGTCTATAATCACGTGCGAGCATGCAATTGAAGGGAAAATGAATCTGATTGGATGATGACGGTCTATCTTCAAGACGATAAAACTATCGGAGACAATTATCAAACTTGTTTGATATTATGAAATGTTATATTGTACTCAAGATTTGAGTCGGCGACAAAAATTTCCGACAAAAACCACTCGTGTGTCCGCACCTTAAATTTCAACTTCTTAACAAGTCTATGTAACAAGTCGCCATTGGCTAAACAGAGTATTTGTAGGCACGAGTTCCGGCCCTTGTTTTATTTTCATTTATTGTTTTCCCGAAAGGAAAATAGAAGTCTGCAACGTCAGTCAGATAAAACACTTTCCCTCGGGTTTATATGATATTTAAAACCCTTTAGCTTCGAAAACTCATTGGAATACAGGTTATAAAATTGATAAAAACCCTCGGCCTTGTTTATCTTATATAAAACTATGTAAATAAAGTACAATATGAAAAGATCTTACCTATATCTAGTAAAACCATTATGTTATATCTGGAGGTCTACTATTGAACAACTTTCTCTCTAACTGAAGGCGTTGGAGTGATCAACAAACACTTGGATTTATATTATCAATTGCTATTGATTAAATATACATTTATTTGTTGTTTGTTAAAATTTACATATTAATTTGATGACATATACTACATTATAATATTGAACAAAAACAAGTTTTTTTACAGGTTTTCTCATTGATATAGTCCAACTGTAAACTCGAATGTAAAATGTTATTATTCTACATTGTCTTTGTTATGTGGATAAAAAATCACAAGGTCGGCAAGTGTTGACCGGATAAAACCGCCCTGTCCATAACACCTTGAGTGGACAAAAGTGGACAATACTGATTAAAGCAACACTTTGTTGAAATTTCACCCAGTTTTTTTCTTAAATCCGAGGCATTTAATCATACACAATAATTTCAAAGTTATAATTGTTATATATGCAGTATGTACATTCAGATAGTATAATGAAAATTATATTAATTCGCAGACTCGAATAATAATATAAATTCATAGTAAAATTACATATAGATACTAAGATAGCTTTTTCAA